TTGATATGTTTTTGTTGGGTCAGACCTATGTTGATCAAGTTATGTCACATTTAGTTAATGTTGAGTCGGGTATGGACCAAGTTTATTGGATATGGACCAAGTTTGTTTGAGATGGCCCTAAGTCAGGATGGATAAAGTTAGATTGGCTCAAGTTGAGTAAGTTGTTTGAGTTGGATTAAGGTTAAGTTAGATCTAGGTCAAGCTAAGGTTGATAAGGTTCATGTTGTGTTAAGTTAAGTTGAACCAATGTCAGCTGAATTGAGTTAGACCCAAATCTATATGAGTCAAGTCTATGCCATGTCAGGTTGTATCTAGTGAGTTGATTCATACACACCATGGATCGAGTTAAGTGAGACCCATGTTGGACCATGTTAAGTTGGGTCACATCAAGCCAACTCGAGTTGGGTTCACGTTAGGTGAGTAGAGTCAAGCATATGTTGGACCCATATCAAGTTGAGTCAAATTAAGTTTATTTTGGATCCACCTTGAGCTCAATTAAGTCGAGCTCACCTTGAGTTGAGTTAGGTCAGGTCCATGTTAGGTCTAGTTGAATATAGTTGTGTCCATGTTAGATCAAATAAAATTGTTCCAGCTCAAGCTAAGTCAAGTTGAGTTTGCATCAAGGTAGGTCTAAATAGAGCCACATAGGGATAAGTCATGTTAGATCCTCATTAGACCAAGTTGAATTAGGAAAACTCGAGTTGAATAGAGTTGAACATGTTTGAATTACACCTCCTTCGACCAAATCAAATTGGATCATCTCGTATCAAGTCAAGTCTAATCAATTTTTAACTAGTTAATGCAGTTTAAAGACATAATAAAGAATAAATAACACAAAGAAACCCATCAGAAGATATAAATTTAAGATACGAGCAATTATCAAATAACTATTTATTAGAAAGGTTGTTATGATTGATATTATTAAAGATGAATAAAATTATAGTGTATTAATTAACCTTTTTCTTTTGCTCAGTTAACAATTTATCTTTTGATAAAAATTAATTTATAAGATATTTGGGTTAGAACACGACTCGTCTATTGAGATATATTATTTAACTCATCCATTAAGATATATTTTTTAGGAGTATTTTTGACAATTTCATTTAATTAAGAATTAAATATAGAATTAGTTGAGTTAATCATTAACTTAATATGTTTTAGGTTTAATAGCTTATTTTGTTTCCAGTTTTGCTAAATAATGTAAATTCAGTGTCTCATTTTAAAAATGCTTGAAATTGGTCCTCATTTATTAAATTTTGCCTCAACATGTCCGTTAAATACGTATAAATGACTTTAACTTTTTTCTCTAAGGATCAATTTTAAATACTTTTAAAACAAGAGATTGAATTGACATTATTAAGCAAAACTGGAGACAAAATAGACTATTAAACTTATGTTTTAGTATTGTACTTAGAATTCTAATTGTTTTACGGTGATATGTTTTTTTTTACTTTTGATCATGAGTATGTTCTACGAGTCTTAGGTTAGAAAATAAAAGAGTTTAGGTTAGAACAGGAGCTTTAATATTCTCAAACATAGACCTTAAGTCACGATACCATGAAATTACAACAAAATATGAAAACATTCCAAAAAAATCTGTCTTTAAAACTCATCATGAGAGAAAAGAAAATGTTTTATTAAGTTTGATAATTTAGAAGGAATGTCAATTTAAATTATTTATATAATAAATTAAAATTTGATAACTATTATTAATTTAAATTATACTTACATTTTTAATATTAACATTAATTTTAATAATTAAAAAATTTAATTATGAATTTTACAATTGTATACACTATTAAACTAGTATTTTCTTAAAAAACTAATATAAAATTTGTTAGACCCATAAAAACCCCAACTTAGTGGAGTACACGTGTAAGCTAAAAAGTGTCTGAAATTCAGAAAGTGGAAGACATGTGTGTGATGCAGATTGGACGATCGGTTTTGACGGTAGAAGTAAACATCAAACTTTCAAATTTCGTGCCACTTTTCTGCATGCACTCATCTTCTTCAACCTTTTGAACCTGACTTTTCTCCTCCTTCTCTCTACAAATCCCCTACTTCTCTCTAAGAATTCTCACATTTTCTTTCCCCTGATCAACAATTAGATCACGTTTAAATCTTCTTGGTGTCAAGAGCTTTCTTTTGTACCGATCAAGTTGCTGGTTTGAGTTGGTAAGTTCATCACTCTCATAGCACTGTATTTTCTGGTACATGCAAACCAAGTTTCTGGTTTCATGAGTTATCATCTAATTCTGAACACACTTCTGGTCTTTTGATTCGTTTAGTTTTATAAATAGTGAATCGTAGACTTCTAAGAATTCTGGTGGTGAACGATTCTCTACAATTTGTGAACGTCTGACTACACTTAGAGGTAAGGGAAGCTTATATAATTTGATTATGATTTTGTGTTTGAATGATTGAATGGTTGTTGATCGTTGGATGAATATGAAGCATGTTTATTACTGCATGTTTGGTGGTGTGAATGTATGAGTTTTAAATGATGAGGAAATGGTTTGAGATATGGTTGTGATTTTAAAGTCTGCAGTATATTGTGTAATTCTGTGTTGTCAACCGAGAGTCGTTTATTGACCGTTCGGTTATCCTTGAGCATTCGGTCTGGACTGAATTCTTCTTCTGTGGAGAATTTCAGTTAATAACCTATCGATTTTCCCTTAGTGTGCTTGTAAGTAAGCGTTCGGTCTAAGTATAGTTCTTCTTTATGTTTCCTAAACAGTTTAGTTAATGTATTCTATAATACGTAAAGTCGTAGATGTTATCGTTATTTTTCACTAAAAATAAGTGTGGCGTAATTGTATATATATATTCCTTCATTTTTATTTAAGTTTAGTAGTGCTCGATCTTGGACCAAGCGTTCGGTCTCAGTAGCGCTCGTTTTTTATAAGTGCTTGGTCTTGGACGTGCGCACGTTCAATATAGTTCTCGGTTTTATACTAATATTTATGATAGTGCTAGCGCTCGGTCTTGTACTAGCCATTAGGATGATGATAGTGCTCGGTCTTGTACTATCCGTTAGGCTAGTGATAGCGCTCGGTCTTGTACTAGCCATTAGGTTAGTGATAGCGCTCGGTCTTGTACTAGGCGTTAGGCTAGTGATAGCGCTCGGTCTTGTACTAGCCGTTAGGCTAGTGATAGCGCTCGGTCTTGTACTAGGCGTTAGGCTAGTGATAGCGCTCGGTCTTGTACTAGCCGTTAGGCTAGTGATAGCACTCGGTCTTGTACTAGCCGTTAAGCTAGTGATAGCACTCGGTCTTGTACTAGCCGTTAGGCTAGTGATAGCGCTTGGTCTTGTACTAGCCCTTAGGCTAGTGATAGCGCTCGGTCTTGTACTAGCCGTTAGGCTAAGGATAGCGCTCGGTCTTGTACTAGCCGTTAGGCTAGCGATAACGCTCGGTCTTGCACTAGTACTCGGTTTGGTATTGGTGTTCGGTCTTAACTATGTTCGGCCTCTGATGGGCCTTACATGTTAATGAGGTCTCTCTTAGTGGTCGGTCCTAAGTAGTGTATGACTACTCCTTCAGTCTTATCTAGGATGGACCGTTTGGTCCTGTTTGGTGTATAAGTGGAAGATCGCTCGGTCTTACACTATATGTCCAGCTGTGTTAGTCTAGAATGTATTCAAAACGTTCAGTCTTGTCTTTAGGGGAATGTTATGGTTCAGTTTTGATTTCAGATGGGATCTATTTGGATTGGTTCGGTATGATTGTATTATTGAATATGAATGGAATAGAATGGAAATGAAAGAGTATTCCAGGGAGGAATATCTCATAAGTGGTTATTGAATGATATAGTATGAATGTGGTAATGCTTAGCTGGCGGTTATCCTGATATTTTGTGATTACTCATTCTCAAGTAGAGAGGAGTAAGTCATGTGTGAGAATGGAAGGAAGTCCTAATCCATAAGCTGAATTTGGACGGAACGAACTAACCTCGGGTGATAGCTGTTGAGGGCATCACAGCTATTACATCACCCGGGTGCAAAAACGCCGTAGCTACACAAAATTCACACAGTCCGAACAGTCAGAGTAAAGTGGTTGGTCATTGCATGCTTTGACGTATGATTTTGATTGGAAATGCATGATTGGATGTTACATGATGGTATATGGAATTATATTCGAAATTATGTGAAGTATATGTTTCACTGGAATAATTAAATTACATAAGCTTACCCTATTTTTCCTATCTTGTTTGTAATCGTTGTTCGGTCGTCTGTTTCTGTTGCAATAATCATCTTGTGGATGTGAGCAGAAGGAGAAGAGCTGTTGGAAGAGTCTTTGGTAGAAGTGGAAGTGAAAGAGGAACCCTAGGAACGTTTCGGTCGTTAGGTTGGGTTTTATTTTGTAACACCGCTCGGTGTAAGTTTAGTTTAATAACCTGTCGGTTTGGACTTTGGTTGTGATTTTGTAAAGTCTTAAATTCTGTAATATTTTGTAAGTCCATTCGGCCATAAGCATATTACTCCCTTTCTGACTGATCTGTAATATTGTTAATATGTGAGTATTCTACGATATGATTTTATATCGTATGTTTGGGATCTTACAAAATCAAATAAACTTAAATATTAAATATTATTATTGTTATTAACCGTGTTAGCATATGTTTATATATAAATATTTATTATTATTAATTTTATTTTATAATGTTTTCAATAATAGTGAAAATCTTAAAATAACTATTAATTTATATTATTTATAATTTTAAAATATTTTAAAATATTAAAAATAGTTCCAAATAATTTTAAACATTTCTTTGTGCTTATTTTATTAAATCATGAAAAATATCTTAGTAGTTTTTATATTATAAATAATTAATCAATTAAATATTTATATATTTTTTTTATTTTTATATCAAATTGACTATATAATATAAAAAAAAGTAATTGAGTTAAATAAAGTCAGTGGAGTGTTATTTAGGTATTTTTTTCAGAAAAAAAAAAATCAAGAGAAGCTGCTTCAACCCCTTCTTTCTTCCTGTGCAGCAGAGCATAGTTCAAGCATCTTTTTTTTTTCTCTGTAAGATATGAACTTCTTCATCTGTTTGACCTAATTTTTCACCTTTTTCTCAATGTGTTCTAAGAGGCCCCTTTCGAGATTCCTCGCCTCTTTTCCTGTAAACACTGATCATCTTCAACTCGCTCATAACATAACCCAAAGCCTTCTCAACTCCACCCATTTCAAACCTCACTCTGCGATCCCATGCATCGCACCTCAAGTCACTTACTATGTTCTCTCAGACCCATCTCTTCCTCCTCGCTCCTGCTTATCCTTCTTCCACTTCCTCGCAACACAAAACCCCCAAAAACCAGACCTCAAAGCCCACCTGATCCTCCTCTTTAGGCTCTTTTCAGCAAAACAATTTGCATCAATGAGAACCCTTTTGAATTCCCTTGTCACCAATGTGGAAACCAAGCACCCTGTTCGTGAGTTTGTTTCTCTAGTTGATGAATGTGAGTCTCAATTTGGAAGTGAAAGTGAGAGTGAGTCATATTTTGTTGAGAAACTATGTGACATGTTGTTCAGGGTGTGTGCTGATAACAGGATGTTTAGAGAGGCTATTTGGGTGTTTGATTATGTGATGGCAAAGGGGTTGGCGATAGAGGGTAGGTCTTGCTTTGTGCTTTTGCTTGCTTTGAAGAGATGTAAAGAGGTGGAGTTCTGTGTGAGGTTCTTTCATCGGATGGTGGAATGTGGCCGCGTTGATATTGGGGTTCAGTCTTTGACTCTTGTGGTTAATGTGTTGTGTAGGAGAGGAGAGATCAATAGGGGTAAGAAGTTGATGAAGGAGATGGCTGGGAGAGGCATTGTGAGGCCGACGGTTTTTACTTATAATACATTGTTGAATGCTTGTGTTGTGAGGAAAGATCGAAAGGGGGTTGAGGAGATACTGGGGTTGATGGAGAGTGAGGGAGTGCTGGCTTGTTTGACGACGTACACTATTTTGATTGAGTGGTATGCGAGTTCCGGGAGAATTGGGGAGGCTGAAAAGGTGTTTGAGGAAATGCGTGGGAGGAACATGCAGATGGATGTTTATGTGTACACGTCGATGATAAGTTGGAATTGTAGGGCGGGAAATGTTAGAAGGGCGTTGGCTTTGTTTGATGAGATGATTTTGAAAGGCATTGTTCCAAATACTCATACTTACGGGACGATGATTAGCGGAATGTGCAAGGCGGGGCAAATGGAGGCTGCAGAAATCTTGTTGGAAGAGATGCAGACTAAGGGGCTTGATCTGAATGTGGTGATATTTAACACGATGATGGATGGTTATTGTAAGAGAGGGATGATGGATGAGGCTTTCAGGCTGCAAAATATCATGGAAAGGAAGGGATTTGAAGCCGATGTGTTTACATACAGCACTCTTGCTAGTGGGCTATGTAAATTGCAAAGGTATGAAGAAGCCAAGAGGACCCTAAATTTGATGGTGGAAAAAGGAGTGACTCCGAACGTTGTTACTTGCACTACTTTAATTGAGATATATTGTAAGGAAGGAAACCTTGCAGAAGCTGAGAGGATCTTAGGGAATATGGATAAAGAGAGAATGGTGCCTAATATTGTTACGTATAATACTTTAATAGATGCATATAGTAAGAAAGAAAAAATAAAGCAAGCTCATGTGTTAAAATCTGAAATGATAGGGAAGGGAATAGTGCCAGATGTATTTACATACACATCACTGATACATGGGGAATGTATAGTTAACAGGGTGGACGAGGCTCTGAAGCTTTTCAGTGAAATGTTGGTAAAGGGCATAAGAGGAAGCGTAAAGACATATACAGCAATTATTTATGGTTTATCCAAGGAAGGGAGAGCAGATGAAGCTTTTAAGTTTTATGATGAGATGATGAGAATGGGTCTAGCACCTGATGATAGAGTTTTTGCTGCACTTGTTGGTAGTCTTCATAAAGTCAGTTCTCATGTTGCTGCGAAACAAAATGAGTGGTGCACGGAAAATAGACTCTCCTGATGCCTCGAGCTGGCAAACTCTAGTTTGTCAATTTCACGTGTGGAGGTGGCTCATACATTATGATTTTGTTCTTGAAGCCTGTATGAAAAAAAAAAAACATCTTCCACAACCCAATACCAAATTAGAGCTTGGAAACTGGTACACTGTACAAATATTCTTGTGTTGGGTAATACATACAAACCTCCTTCCTTTATCTGTTGATGAATTATACATATCCTATGATGGTGATTAGAGACTTTGCTGGAGTATTTCACAGAAGTGGGAGTTGGTCAGATTTGTTCAAAGAAGTAACGAGAGTCCTTCGTGATGAATTCTTTTCCTCCAATAAACAATCAGATGTTCGACGGAGACTTTCAATAAAGTTATCATACACAGCTACACCTCAGTTATATTTGTCAATCATTCCTAGATCATCTACTAACTTAAACAATCCCTATGAAACAATACAACTTGTGTTTCGAAAATACAGCTCAATTAATGCAAGAAGAATGTACAACTTACAAAATTCCTCTACATCTGTACTACGAAGTTCATCACCTTTGTGAACAATATCATCTAACCGAACAACAGGACCAGGAAACATTTTTCTTGTGTTACATTCATTGTCTTCTTCCAAATTAATATTTTGACCCACTGCTAACAGTTCTAAAGCTAAATAGACATCTAACAAAGTAAAACTTATTGTTTTATTCACTGTCTTTTCATTCAACCTCGTACATAATGCATAGAACAATGGGAGATATATATTGATTTTCCCCCAAGTTCAAACACATACTAAACGTTGTTTCCGCAATGTGACTCTTATGCTTGGTTGTTGTCAAGTCCCAATTTTGACATGATTTTCATCGATAAATGCACTTCTTTTGGGATGCTTGTGCTTCTAATTCCTTAGTTTTAATTCGTTTTCAAAATTTCTTGCTAATAATAGAGTCTTTACGAAAATGTGTTAATTTTGTGTTTTTAAGTAGTTATTTTCGTTAGTGTCTTAATTGGATTCTTCTAGTAGCATAGTTTAATTGTTTTTAGTCTTAGTCTCATGTGCAGCATTGAATTTCCTTGTTCTATCTAATATTCTAGCTTTGATTTATGGTGTTGTAATTTGCAATGCAGTTAACTTCTTTAGGGAAGCCTAAGTCTTTGGGTGCCAGTGAAAAGAATTGGGGACAACCTAGCTACACGTGACAAGCAATTGGCAGTGCAGGCTGAAGAAGCAATAGGATGGAGGAGCTGAATTTGTCCAAGAAGCTAAGAATTAAGAGGAGTCAGATGCTGGCAATCTGAGAAAAGGCCATTTGGAAGAAGTTAATTGGCCATTTTGCTTCATTATTTGCTTATATGCATTAGTTAGTTATTTTAGAAGAGCTAAGAAGATTACGTGCTGTTCAGGTTATTTGTAATCATACTTAGGAAAGTTTAGTTAGTTAATAGTAGTTAGTTTACTTGCATTTTCCAGCCATGAATTGTTTAGGAGTTGAGTGGCCTATAAAAGGGCTGATACGTAACGCCAACGACAACCCACCTCATTACACCACACCGATTTTTTCACATTCTCTCTACACATTTTCACAGAGCCTGAACAGACACTTTTCTCTTTTCTCTGCTTGGATTCAAGATTCAAGCACCTTCAAGCCTGGTTTCAGTGACTTTTACCATTTTGTGCAGTTTTAATTCTCTGTAATTGATTTTTATTCAATGCAATTTTTACATTTCAGCCCTTACTTTCAATGCTTCTACTTCAATTTCTTGCTTCTGATGTTAGTTTCGAATTCAAATTACTTTTACAAGTTTTATCTCTCAGATTGACCGATTAAATTGATCTTGTTTTATATATTCTGCTGTCACTGGTTCATGCGTGCTGTTCGTTCATGTTCACTTACCATTTTTATGTTTCCAGTTGCTATTTTCAGTGCTTTTATTTCGTTTCACTCTCTCTTCATGATAGGAACTTATTTTGAATGATAATTTCTAGATTCAATATTACAGTTTTCACAATTTGACAGTTCGGTTAGTTTAGTTAATTAATTCTGTTAAGTGTTAATCTAGGCTTCAGAAATTGATTTTTATATTCTGTGTTTTAATCTCAATTTTAATCATTGATTCTATGTTTCTTGCACATTTAAAACAAACTTGCATTGCTAATTTTGTTGCTGGATTCAGATTTCCATTTTTTGCTTGCTCTTAAGAACTTAGGTTTTCTAGATTTGGCAAAAATTGGTGATATGAATCCAGACTTACGATTTTCTGAAATTGATTGTTCCAGTTGTTAATTAGCATTTTTATAGATGGATTTAGATGTTAAAATAATGAATTCTCTAACTGCATTTCGTTTTAGCTAGTTAAGTACTCATTTTACTTTTGCTGTCAAAATTCTGATGCATTAGTTTAGTGTCTTTTGCTGCATAATCTTTGTTTACATAGTAACTTCATGATTCCATTGCATTTAACCAATTTTGTTTACATTTCAGGCATATTTTCATTGATATAGACGTGTTCCAGCTATTAATTTTGCTTTTTACAAAGTTTCACTTATTTTAACAAACACTTTGATGCCAATTCTGATGTGACAGGAGATTTTGTGAATTTTGTATTTTCTTTTGCGCTCTTCACATTACTAATTGTAACTTGTTCCATGCATTCATATTGTCTAAAACTCATTTTCACCACTAGAACTAGAAATGCACAAATGTTGTCAAAAAGCTTGTCAAACATATTTTGCTGTCAAAATTTGAAACTTAGTTCTAGAGTGTGAATTTGAGTATCTAGAGTGTTTAGTCAGTTATGCATTTGCATTCAAGTTAGTTTTATGATTTTAGTTATCTCTCATCATTTCATATTATAAATTCTGTTACAGCATTCTTAGATTAGTTCATGCATCAGTTTTAGAATAGATTGCATTGTATATAATTTCCCCCCATAGTTTTATTAATTTTTCATAGTTAACAAAACAACAAACAAGCTACTAAAAACTGAGTTTCCTATGATTGACACTTAGGTTGTCCCTATGCTATATCTTAAGAGGAATTTATATCGATAAAGCTTAATGTGGGTAAAGGCTTTATCAGTTGTCATTTTCTTGATCAAGATTAAGCTATATCTTCCTCAGTAGTTTGTTTAATCTTGATCCCAACATTATTACAAAACTGCTAAATTTCTTTATTATGAGTATAACAGGCCTTCCAAATATCAAATCCACTTGAATGCAAAAATCCAACTGTGTAGAATATATCCTCGGTATTGATGCTGACATCATATTGTCCCACCTGAAATTTTTTATAATTTCGAGTAAGAGAAGAAATGTACAAATCATAATAACTTGTTTGTGAAAAATACTGAAAGCGTTTTCTTTGTTTGCTTCTGCTAATTCTCTTGTATACTTTTAGTGAGAAGAACAAGAATTAAGGCTTTTCCATCTCTAGTTTGAAGGAAAGCTATAGTATTTTTCCTCTTTGCCTGGTCAAGAACATGTAATCAGAAAATGAAAGTCAAGCATAAGAGTCGCATTGCAGAAACAACTTTTAGTTTGTGTTTGATCCATGCATATGTACGAGATGGAATGAAAAGAAAGGTGAGATCTTGAGCTCTCTCTAGACTTTTCTCATGTTTTGTTCTGGTGTTTAATAGAATAAGTAATAGTTTCATAAGAATTTTTTGGTGAGATGAGAAATAGGTGAAATGAAAATAAATTGGTAAAATAGAAATAAAGCAAACATGTGAATATAAATAATACAGAATTTCACCATTTCATATAATTATTTCTTTTCTCCTTTACATCAATCAAACATCCTATTTTATTTTCATCTTCCTCCATCTTCCATCTACAAACCAAGGCTAAATATGCTAGAAAAAGTTACAAATAAAAAGTAAATTATTTTCCATAGGTTTATTTAGGAAATGATTTATATAAATATGCAATACCAGTTCTCTTTCAAGATATAAAGTTTTGAGTAATAATACTTTAATATAAATTAAAATTCATTTGACAACATTGTAAAAATAAAACAGACATAAAAAAATGAATTTTTACATTTATAAAAAAATAAAGAGTAAAAGAGTGCAAAAAAATTGGATATAAAAATATCACTAGTCTAAAATTTTGGGATGAAATATAACTCACTTGAGAATGACAATGTTATATGGATTTCTTTCCTATTTTTCAAGACAAATGATTGTTGGCAATTAGTTTATGTACTTTCATATCTTCTCTTACTCTCACAATTTTTTTTAAATATCTCTTTTATCGTTTATGATTTATATCTTTTGCCATTTTTTTTTTTTGTTTTTTAGCAGGTAATCTCGTGAAGTACTATGCAGTTAATGGTAGATGCAACAAATGGTAGGGAATCAAAGATTGAGCATGAGTTTGTATAGAAATCATTTAGGCTTTAATTCGGATTAATCAAATATTGAAGCAAGAAAACAACTTTTTGGATTTAAGGATATGGAAGTGGAGAAAAAATGTTCATTCACTACAAAAATGTAAATTTTTACTGGAGGTTAATTTTTTCTTTTTCGGCGGTTTTAACCCCCAAAAAATATCTTACCAGGGGTTAGGAAAATCCCTGAAAAAGTTGTGGAAAACCACGGGTAAAAGTTGCATCACTATTAGTAGGAGTTTTGTCAAAACCGCCGATATTAGCGGGGGTTTTGCCCAAACCACTAGTATTAGCGGGAGTTTTTCCAAAACTACCGGTATTAGCAGGGGTTTTACTAAAACCACCGGTATTAACAAGAGTTTTGCCAAAACCGTCGGAAATGTGTACAGATTTTTTTTTAGCTTTTGATGGTAATAAAATGGGATCATGATAAAATTAGTTTTATTAATCATATAGGCAATTCATTAATATTAACTAAAGTTGAATATTATATATAAAATAAACTACATTATTTAACATATTAATATGATCATACAACTAATTGTTCATATATTAAAAAAAAGATATTCAATTCCAAATTAAAATACTAAAAATATGACTAAGATGTTCATTACATTACTAAAAAGAAACAATGTCTAATTTTGTTCTTCATTACATTAAGTGAATAAAATTAAACAATGTCTAATTTTTATTTTATAGGAAAATATGTAAAAGAAAAATCTAAGGATATCCTGTATAGGACATGATTCATAACAATAGTTAAACTGATAAAAATGAAGATAAGAAGTAGTCAAGCAAGCACTAAATTTACAATTATAAGTTGAAAATGACAAGAATATTATTGTCGATTGTATAATGAGAAAGTGTAAAATTTACATCCACTTTAAAATTTGGCGTGTATAAAGTTGAGTGACTGACTGACAATGGCTCTCAGCTTTTATGCAAAAAAGGCATAAACATAAGCGAAAAGCCTAAATGGTTGGTTACAAGAGTACAAAATTCGTAACAAAACTTGGCTAAATTCGCATAAATAGGAGATTGTAAGAAGAGTTATGTATGTCAAGGCTTAGCTCTCATGTTTTGCCTTCACAGCTAAGGTCACAACTCTGAACCAAGTCGCTGCAGCCATAGCACCAAGATCAGGAACTGTTGAAAGAATCTCTCCAGAAATGTATGTTGAATGACTGGCCTGCATATGCATTGCTACCCATCAGATCCACTTATAATCACAACACCAACACATTAAAACATCCACAATCATTTTCATGCCATTTGGATTCATACTTTAGGGAAAAGGTGTCTACTCTATAGTGCATCATCTTCAAGAACATAAATACTTAAAATCCAATTAAGAATAACATTACAAATAGTGCATTAATCATATGGGAGGGTTAAAAGAAACTAAACAAGAAAAACAAAAAAATAGGCAATGTAGATCATAAACTTACTTTTTGATGTTCTCAAGAATTGCTTTTGCACCTCTAGACATCTGCAGAAGAAAATCCAACATCACATCGATAATATATATATATATATATATATATATATATATATATATATAACTGAAATATTTACATAAATTACTTTAAGAGCACAAATTGCATATACCTTATCAGTTGGTCTCACAGGCACACTACTGTCATTATTATTGTTATGGTTTGGAGGGGACTCTATTGAGAAATGAGGCATGGATGTTGATGAAGTTCCTGATGAGAGATTCACCTACATGTTAAATGTACCAATTCTGTTTTATTACAGGGGAATAGAATGTGATGAACAAATTACAAAATGAAAACCACAAAATTTCTAGTAGTCGAGGAATGCAGTGATCAATTCTTTAACCTCATAAGAAAGATTGATGCTAGTATAAGCTGGCTGGCGTAGAGTAACAGAAGAAACAGTCCCAGTTCTAGTTAAGCTGCACAAAGCCCTTGGCCTCTGCTGTGAAAATGAAAATAACTTTGCTACAATGTCCTAAAATAAAGAAAGTCTACAATCAAGTAACATTTAAATTTAAATTAATGTACAATTATAAATAAACTTGAGATTGAAAAGAAATAATTCTTGAGGGCTTGATTGATCCCTCTCATAATCTTCTATTTATAAAAAAAAATTGATACAAGAGTACATGATAATTAGGGTAACCTTAGACACAATATAATCATGATAGGGTAACCTAGATACAATATAATCATGATAAATAGGTTAATCCTAAACACAATATAATCATGATAAATAGGGTAACCCTAGACATAATATAATCATGATAAATAGGGTAAATATTTTAACACTCCCCCTCAAGCTGGAGCATACAAATTGTATGTGCCATGCTTGGAATAAA